TAGAAGGAGAACAACACCGGAGAAGGCGAACATCAATGAAATTCCAGGAGATCTGGAGAAAGACATATGGGACATAAGAAAATGAGGACGTGAACCATGGGTGGAAAGGAGGGATGAGGTGGGGGATAAGAAATAGTACGGTGGTAGTCAAAGGTAGTGTACCAGTGTTAAGGGGCTAGTCTGAAAGATTTTTCCCCTTTTACTATGCATGTCCAGGTGGGAGACCTAGGCGGGCATCTACATCAAGAAGCTGCTGTCTATAGCGCAGAGACTGTTCAACTCCCTATGAAAAAGAATATACTGCTAGTAATTCTATCCAGAATCAAGTGAGTGTCGTGATAAAGAAGAGAGTATAAGTTCCAAAAGTTTGGGAGTAATGAATCCCTGTAGCGCTTCCTTTGTTACCTCCTGTCTGGCTTCTTTGCCGGACCCCTGCTTTCTATTCTCACTGTGCATATTTGTGCTGTTTGGACTTCTCATACCAGATGGCTTTCCGTTTAGACTTCGAATCCGGAATTAACGCTATCTTTACAGCACCCGATCACTTTAGGAGATGGGAAAGAAACCCATTGTTCAACTGTCCCAAGAAGTCGCCTTTTGTCGATGATGTGAGTAGGGAGCGCCATTCCCCAAGTGAGGACCAAATCCGTTCAGATCGAGCAAGCCGAGCCTTTCACCCTCCTGGAATGGCTAATCGGTGCCAGAGTTGTCTGATAGGATAAAAACACTGCCTTGTACTCGGCTGCCCCTCCCCCGTTCATTGTATGGGCCAGGTAGCATACGAACTGCTACTAGATTCTCAACGGATTTGATTTGCGTGGCGAACCCCACCAGGGATTGATCAACGCCAAAAACTTCGCCCAACATTCTTTCACATGTGGGACAACTCTGCTTCCACGCGAGTACCACACCTGAAAAAAAAGTTCCAAAAATGCACCACGAGCTATACGCCAAATCGTGGGTCCAAAGGGTGAGGCCTTGACCTTTTAGGAAGGCTTAGCAAAGTTCCAACACCTTGCTTTCAAATCGAGAAACGATAACGTTCAGAGAATTCTGGAAGTTTCAGGTTACAAACGAAACTATCATAAATTTGAGCAATGGATCACCAGTGGTTTCGAATCATTTATTCTATTCAAATGTATCTCGCCACCTTGACCTTACGGAGAATGGTAGAGTTTACCAATGTGTAAATGCACAATCACTTTTTTATTGTTTTTTGCTTGAATCAATCTTTTTAGTTCTTAAAATGATCTATTGTTGAAGAACCTCTGCTTAAGCTCTTGCACCTTTCAGCGATTCTGCCTCATTCAAAGGCGGAGGTCACGATTATTGGGGCCGGTGCGGCTTGATGACGTTGCGGAATGCCATTGGTGAAGTAGGTGACTCAGCGTGTTGGAAGGCGTAAGGGAATACTTCGGGTACCCGACAGGAGGCCCGTCGCGCGGCAAGAAGGCAGAGTCAGCGGACGAGTCGCAGCGCGTACTGTAGTGATTTCGCGTCAAGTTAAATAGAATGTTCCACTGTACTACATCGCACATCACGCGCTGCGACTCGTCCGCGACTCTGCCTTCTTGCCGAGCGACGGGCCTCCTCTCGTGTACCCGACCGCTTCTTAACGCTCTTCCACCAGTGATGCTCCATGACGTCATCAAAGCCGGGTCATATTCCAGTCACCGTGATCTGCTTAATCTGCTCAACCTCCTTCAGAATCTTCGTAATTTTCATAGATCCTGACCTTTCGAAATCTCTTGCATTATTTTCGCAGCTGAGCTAGTTCAAAAGTCCTGCAACATTTCAAAGACTCGCGTTGCAACATTAAATGTTGGCACGTTGACGGGATCGCTCGTGCGAGCTGGTAGAAGCGCTGGAGCTCGATGAATAGAATTCTGCGCTGTGCATGAAACGAGGTGGTCCTGCTGCAGGAACATTGACCGCAAGATGCTCTAAAAAGACCAAATGTTCTGAATTCTTTCTTGCTGCATGGGCACTAGCCCTTGTGGCAGGATGGAAGAGTACGACGTTCGCGCAACAGCTCTCGAGTCTTGTGAAGCTAAACACAAACAAACCCCTATACAGACCTCGCGACTTCATCTACACAGTAGCCCTTGTAGGGAAGAAGCATTAGCCATCCCTATTCTAATGAATTTTTGTGTAGAAATACACTTTACTTCCCATAATCTGAGATGTCGTAATTGCAGAATCAGTGGTACACATGACGACGACTTCCTCCGCTCCTTTTGCTCCCTATGCTATTTGACGGCACCGTTGCTAAATCAGCGTTAGCAACACCCCTGGTTTCCAGAAACGAAGAAAATATTACTATTCTTTCCTCACTGTCGCCCCCACCTCCTCTCATCCCCTCCCCGACCTGTTGCAGAGCTGAGTGAAAATATAGAGTTGAATGAAAAATAGAGCACCGATTTTTCCCACCAAAAGAAGTTGATAATATCGATATCTAAGCACCAGCATAAGGTTGTGAGCAGCTTAACACATTGACGACAACGCGGGGGATATATATCCCGCGCATTGCAGGCCATGTCGGACCGTGCGGGATATATATCCCCCGCACCCATTACACTCATTTTTTTCGCGCACGCCTGATTCTTTTAGAAGTTTCTTGTATTCATTCCATGGAAGAGACCTTGACGTAGCTACAAACATAGTGGCCCTTAGAATGGTCACGTATACTTTAATTTAGAGGAGGATTTCTGAATGCTTAATTTAGAGAAAAAGATTTCTGAACCATACGAAAGTCTTCATTTCAATAAATTTTTCGTTTACTTTTTCTTTTTATTAATGTGAAGATTTAAATAGTAGTAGAAGTATTTCTCTTCGTTTGACTGATGAAATGAAACTCTTCCAAAAGGCTTTATTTGACGACGTTTCGGGCCGTAAGCCCTTCTTCAGGTCTATAACATCATCCATACATTACGTTCTAACATAAAAGAGTGAATCAATACAACATGATATACGAAGCTGACTAACCAATTACAAAAAAGGGAAATTCCGGGTTGAGGGGAGCGGATTGATTCCGCTGAGTTCGTAAATCGCTGCAAGAATGGTGGGATAAAGATGTGGAGGAAAACGTGAATGGGGACCAACCTCTCCTGCTACTCACTCGGAAAAAATGGAGCCATCATGGTAACCTTTGCCATGATCAAAATAATCAACGTAAATAGCTTTTGAGGTCCATTGCAGCTAGTTCTGACCAATTTCGCTTTTTCATTGTTACTCCATGTCTTTCGATCGAAATTCCACTACTATACCCCTGGTTAGGTTGCGCTCATTCGAATTTACTGATTTGGTTTTGAATTGATCAACTAGTTGTGTATTTATCACTCAAAATCTGCTTGAACGACCTGAGGCGAGCGCGCCCGCAAAATCGCCGCGGTCCCACGTGGCCAAAAAAGCCAAAACTCGCAGTTGTCGTCAATGTGTTAAAGCGAGAGATTGCGATAGGATTCTGTTGTGCTCATAGTGGAAGTGAAGATGCTGAATAATGCCCTAGTAGCGAAAAAAGCAAAGAAATCCGTCAAAAACGCGCAAAATGGGACCACTTTCTTTGCCCGTTGACCTCCGATAATGGACGAGCTAGCAACCAATTAGGAGGTCGTTTGCACATGTTATGCTGATAGCCTCTATCATTTCAGCAAGCATCATGCTTTGATTGATCACGCATCCCATGAAAAGTTATAGGATACACTCTGGAAGTGGAATATCTCGTCACATTGGCAATCGAAGGGCGCTGCTGCTGGGGGCGGAGCACAGACCGTGGCGGGGCTCAGAAAGGAATGGCAAGCCTTGTACGCTGCAACTAGCGCACCTTTGACCACAAAAACGCAACATTTCGTTTCCTTGGCCCCTGACTACTGCTTCCAATGGTGCATGTACTTCCACGCTGCATACGCACTTTATCGTAATCTCTCGCTTTTGAAATATTCGATCTTATCCCTAGGAATGTTCCGTTTTTTGGAACGATCATACCTTGATTGATATAGCATTCCATGAGAAAAAAATTGGATACGCGCTCGAAGTGGCATACCTTATCAGAATGATAATCGAACAGCGATCTGCTGAGGGGCGGAGCACAGGCGGAGGCGGAGCTCAGAAAGGATTGGCAGCCCCAGGGCGCTGCAACGAGCGCACCTTTAGTCACAAAAAGGCCACATCTCGATTCCTTTGGGCTCTAGCTACTGCTTGAAGTGCTGCTCGTTCTTCCATGCTGCACAGAAATTTTATCGTAATTTCTCGCTTTAAAGGCATTTGATCGCGATGGCTTGGAGAGCATACGGTTTTGATGACGTCATCGAAGATCATTGGTGGAATGACATTGAGAGAGCGGCTTCAATCCTGGCCCACTGAGAGGTCTAGCGCACTTACGACGTCATCAAAACGGCAACGTCCTCCAGCTCGTGCGATCACAACCTCCGGCTCATGCAAGCACTCTCTTTATACATTCAAGTAGGCAACTCGAATAGGTGTGCGTTATTGCGTTTGAAAAATGGAAGAATTTGTGGCGATTGCACACCACTAATAAAAAAAGTGGTCATAAAAGATAGTAAAGAAAAGACGCTCAAAATCACGCTCGTGTGCTGAATCGTGGCTGAGACCCATTCCCTGCGTGCGTTTCTTTGATCAGCCCCATCGTTTCCTCTTTTTTTTTACCAAACGAGTCATATCAAAAGAAAGGCTGAACAAAAGCACTTCCCGTTCAGAGAAGCAAATGCACACGCCTATCGCCTAGTGTGAATGAGTCTTTAGCGGTTTTTCGCTCGCTCCATTACTGTAGCATATATTACATATAGTGTACCATATATTACAGCTTCGTTGGTTTTCAAGTAACTCACATCTGCTCAGCCGCAGAATGTGCTTTTAAGAAGGAATCCAGTTGATTCAGTATTATTCCAAAGCAATTATTCTTGATGATACCGTAACCGAACCTATTGACACGATTTTATAGGGAAGAGCGAACCAGAAACACAGAAAAAATCTGCTCCTGAACAATCATCGAGTGAGTTTCCAGTATAGCATTATACAGCTAATGAATCCCAGATCCTGGATGATAAGAAACATTTCAGATTGGAGCCGGCGAAGTCGGTGGTGAAAAAGAGACAACAGCGCCATCAGGTGACTAAATCAGAAACGTTTTCGGGGCCACCTTGTCCAAGCTGTCGAGCCTGCGTCAATTTTCAAATCCTGAGGACCCCTTTCTGAACTCGTTTGAAAGATCCCTTCACATTTACAGACCTTGGAACTTTAACTATAAGCACTGTAGCACCTCTTTCGTCTTAGTCTGCTTACAGTGGGGTAAAGCATTCGTCGAGGTCTTAGGAGCTAAAAGTGGGCATAACGAAAGTGGGGAACAGGGTAGTGGTAAAGATCTTTCAAGATAAGTCAATAATAAAGCATATTTCTTTTTGTAGGATGTCCTCAAATTGAGGTTAACCTATCAAATAGTCTCTCACCTCTCCGAAATTCATCAGAATTGTCAGGAAGGCAACCTGTCGGAACGACGGTCATTCACATGTGCGCCGTCTCGTGAGTCGCTGTAACCCATTTCGACTTTTTGTATGATTTAGTCTGCATTTTTATGTCCTTGAGTTGTAAGTGAGTTTCAACTGCTCAAGAGGGCGTATCTTATAACATTTCCGTTGAAACTACCGATCAACTACATACCTATTAGTATAAAAAATAGATAGTGGTAGGGCAAGGTCCGAAATGGTCCTTTTTGACTGCAAGGCAACAATTGCCTCAAAGGCACATGCTTCCATAAATCGCTCGAATGCTGAGAAAAAGTAGAGCTGCTATGAGGTGCTGGTATGAAGGTGCTCATGTCGATGACGCTCGCCGAAAAAGGGTTGACTTTAGTGCTGGCATCAACGACGTGAACGCCCCGCTCTTTCCAGGAACTTCAGGTCACAACCCTCTCTTGACCCTCTCTTGAGTTCTTGGAGGAATCTCCTGTACGTCGCCCATTTATCCCGGGCCTTCTTATGTGATGATCCTACCTGCCAATCACCAGTCACTACCTACTATCTCCCAGAATGTCCACCAGTCGGAGTGGGTTTGTAAGGGCATGAATGGATGATGAGGTGGGAGTGGCCTGTCCACCAATGATTCGAGCCGCAGTGCGGCCCAGGCGTGAATCACGGTCGGGTTTCCTCGACCATAGCTCCAAGAACCGTAGAGAGTAGCGCACGAGAATGAACATCCGCGCGGGAGAGCACAGACCAGGCACGCCCGTCGCGCGAGAGATTCGTGTTGCGTTGGCGCAGGAGAATCTTGATGTGCTGTGAGGAATCTCAAGCCGATATTTCACCCTGGTGCGGCTAAGTGCTTTGTTCATTGTAGGTTCAATATAGACGTGCCTTTAAACAAAGCAAATCAATTGCCGAGCACAGCGTCCAGTATGATCGTGCTGACTCAATTGCTGAGGAGACTGCAAGCGGCCGGGCGCACTTGAGAGAGTTCGATGGCAAAGTATGTAACGTAGCCGGTCGCGAACTAGGTTGCCTATTGGGTTCCTTGAAAGGAGCGGGCCAGTCTTGAAGCAAGGCTATCAAAGGTTTAAAAATTAGTCGTGTGCTGTGGAATGCAAGTACGCCTACCCCACGTACCCCACTACTTGGGCAAGTGAGCATGGCGTTATCAGGAGCGAAGGGGGGGGGGAGGGGGGGGGGGGTAGCTGTCGTGGTTCGGGAGCGGTTGCCCTCCTAACCCTCCAACACGACGCATCGAGGTGGTTCGGGGCCCCCGTGGCCTTTCCCAGGCACACGTCGTTCTACGGGTCCTTCCCGGGGATCATGCGGTTTCCCGCACGCATGACCTCCGCACCCCGGGGCCTTACAGGGTTCCTAACCCAGGAACGGGGGGTTTACAGGGCCATGCCCCGCGGTAACAACCCCTTGATGCACGCAGCACATGATGACCTATTGCGCCTTAATCGGGCCCCAGCCCTGGCGCTCCCCCAAGCTTACCCGTGCTGCCATACTTGTACACAACACCACTCTTTCATTTATCCGCCGCCACCCCTCCCCCTCGCCAATATGCCAATATTGCCGCAGCCTAGGACCCTATGTAGAGTCACGAGCTTGCAGGTATGTGTTCCCAACGCTTCAACAACCGCTGAAGATCTACGAGTGCATGGAGGGTGGGAAATGGACTGATAACAACAACGGCGAAAAATGCGAATGTAAGCAAATCCAGTTTAGTTGTTCATATTATAATGTAATCGCTCAAGTATTTGCAGACGTTGCACCTCGTCAGAAGAATTCTGCAGATCTATAGAGGTTCCGTGCGGCCACGGAATTGCTAGCGAAAGTCTCTGCGGATTACTGTCGTCATTTGCTGAAGAATTTGGACATCTTATCATCACTCAAACACACATTCCACCATAAATATTTGGATCGATCTCCTTCGTGTTTAGAGTGGTCATCTAAAATGTTTATTCGTGTCACTTGTGTTGCAATGGGCCTAATGTCGCTGAGAAGCCAACGATCTGCACAGCATCGCGGGATGTTTGCGTTTCTATCGTCCCATATGCTCTCTCGTCAGCTCTCTAGCGTTAGCCCCTGCGTCCCTTCATCGTGAAAGTGTTTTTCGGTGTTTTCCCTTTTTTCTTGACTTAGCATTTCCAATTTCATTCTTGAGCGCGAAAGTCTCACCTGGACAACGGCGAAATATACCTTTAATCTTCGCGTAACCCCAGATGCGCCATGGACTCAACGTTTGTCCAAATTACAGGTATATCTAGCGCGTGCGAGCTCTGTGGTGGAAACTTCCAGAACAAGCTATCGGTTGCACAGAGTTGAGTGGGAGTCCAGAGGTCTCCACCGTCTCCAAGGTCCACTTCAAGGAGTTCCCTATCTGAAGTGTATCACCTGTTTTGTGATCGTTCACTTTGTCTGAAAATCCCCCCTTTTTTTCGTGCGAATGCGGGTTTTTGGGCTTTTGATGAGCATAACTTTCTTCTTTATCGTTTCTATTGCAGACTTTTGACATGGCGAGGAAGTGCAGGATATGCCCTTCCTGAAAAGCAGCTAATTAATTATGGAAGTTCATCTTTTAAAGAATAACACTCGACTTTTTTTTGGGGAGGGGTGCCGGTCACTTTTTTTGGAAACGCGGCTTTCGGGATTCCAGTGACCATAACTTTCTTATTTTTCGTTCTTATGGAGATTTTTTGGCACCGCAAGAATGAAAAGAATGTGAGCTTTCTAGTATTTCGATCGCTTCTCACAAGTTCACTTTTCGGAAACTCGGAAACTCGCACTTCTTACTCCCAGCTTTTTGAGACTTCGAGTTTTTAGAACTTCAGTCATCGATTTCTTCAAAGCCCCTTGGTAAG